TAGACCAGAGCATGTACACTGGTACAGATGATAGCTCATGACACACGAAAAATCCAGGTCAGATAAACCCCTCAGGAACAGAAATGAGAGTAGCAATACCAGGAGGGTAGGGTGAAGGTGAGAGACGAGGGGAGGAAGGTGGAACTGACTGCAGTGATTGATGCATACCCCACCCCAAATCCCAGGGGGATGAACAGCAGAAACGTGGGTGGAGGGAGACATGGGTTGGTGTAAGGTATGAAAATAATAATTTATAATTTATCAAGGGGTCATAAGGGTGGGAGGGTGGGGGGAAGGAGGGAAAAAAGAGGAGCTGATACCAAGGGTACAATTAGAAAGTAAATGTTTAGAAATTGATGATGGCAACATATGTACAAATATGCTTGATACAATTGATGTATGGAATGTTATAAGGGCCCCCAATAAAATGATTTTAAAAATTGCTCCTTGACATTGCTGATAAATTTACAGTGTCAGCTGTCAGGGTTTCCATTGTTTGTTCTGTTTCCATTCGTCTAGCTTGCCTTGCCTTCTTTGCCTTCTTACCTTTGTGTAGTCTCATATGGTTTATTATCTGAGGGAACACACTACTCATGAGTAATAGTTTATTTTGTAAGCCAATCTATTATTTGGGAGAAGGATGACTCAAAGAGATATCTTCCATTTCATGTCCAAAGTCTTGGAATCCCAAGACTTCTGATCTCTTTCAGACCAGGCCGAGCCTTTCTAAGAAGTTTGAAGTATGTGCTATACTTTTCCTCTCTTCTATCTAAGCCTTCTATAGTGTCCCTGGGTTCCATCTAGCTTTTCCAGTCCAGATTTGACGGATTTAGATTTGAAGAGTGGAGTTCTGGTGGGCTGTTAGTCCTGTAGACTGGTTTCCACTTTGATCCTTTGATTCCTATCATTCTCTTTTGCTGTTTGGTTTGCCAATGGTGGTGTAATTTGAGGCAATGCTTTGTATTTGGTTCTTTGCCCACTTGCTGAGGCTTGCATTGTGGCTGTATTGTGTTGGAGAAGAATGTGCACTGTGCAGTTGTTCAATGAAGTGCTCGGTGTGTGTTTATGAAGTTGGGTGATTGCATTTAGAACTTCTGTATTTTTGTCTTAGCCTTGGTGGCAGTAGGTTAACTTTGGGATGCAAGTCAGCAGTTCGAAACCACCAGCTACTCTGTAGGAGAAAGATGAGGCTTTCAAACTGCTGCCAAGAGTTATAGTCTCTGATATCTTAGTCCAGCACACAGCTCTGCCTTCATGAATGAGTGCTATTGGCAGTTTTGCCCTATTACCAACCTTTATGTTTGAGTAAATAGTGTCCGGTCACTAGTTTTCAATCTGTATGAGTTAACAATCCATGTGTTTTAGTCTAAAAAGCTATCCTATAAATATATACTTTTCTTTTATCAATAGTATTTTAAATTCTATATCATTTGCTAAACAAAATGATATCAATAAAATACATGAGGATGATTTATAATGTTCCCCAATAAAATGATAAGGATGTTTCTTAAAGAGAGTCAAGGATATATATAAACCAGAGATAGATGAATGAATTTTGATCTTGCACTTAATCTTAGCCATAATATAAGAACAACTAGTTATGACATGAAATTATGTGTATCATGTAGTTTTAGAGTAACATATATCCAGAGAAAGGACTGGAAAGTTTTGTTGTGTGCCAAAACATTGATGGTCATTTTGTTTTCTTTTAAAAATATATATTTCGTTGTGTTTTAGGTGAAAGTTTACACAGAAAACCAAGTTCCCATTGAACAACACTCAATATTTGCCCTCATGAAGAGATCATTGAAGATATGGGTGTGGTGAAAAAATCAGATGGTGCCTGTCTGACAGAAAGAATAGTATCTGGGCTCTTCAAGGCTTGTCTGCAAACAGGCAGCCGTCTAAGTGATGTGATAGCCTACTGTACGTGGAAGAAGCACACCAGTTTGTGTCACCCAAGGACTGTAAATTATCAAATCCAAGACAGAAGGAGAAAACACTATTAGACCTTAAATTCTAAGCACTCAGTTTGCAGAAGGCTGTGGACAACAGTGAAATCCCAAAATCCATTTTTAGGGTCTCCGCTGGATTAATCTCCAATAAATCCCCTTTGACCATTGACCAGGCCGATGAATAGCCTTGCTGTCAGCCGAGGGCATGGGGAAGTGACGGAATGCACAGGTAGGAGATTAAAATTTAATACCTTCTTATTTGTTCTCCTTTTTGACTCATATGAAATTTATGCTAGTTTTTAATATTTTCTGCTTTCTTTTTGATTAAGGCTTTTCTTTGTTGTATCCTGTTGTTGTTTTGTTTTTGTTTGTGTGTGTGTGGTTTTTTGTTGCTGCTGTTATGTTTTCCTGCCTATGACGTCCAAGATAGGTAAATCTGGAGGGAAAGTAACTGTATCAATAGTTTCTTGGGGTTATGGCAGGGAAGTTTGGGAGGAAATGAGGAGCTAATAATGAGTATAAGAAAGAAGAAAATGTTCAAAAATTGATCATAGTGATGATTATCCAGCTCTTTTTAATATGACTAAACCACAATATGATTAAATATATGTAAATTGTATATCTATTAAAAAAAAGAATGACTCTTGTCCTCAATGATATATTGGGGGAAAAGACAAAACATACATTACAAAGAAATCCCCCTGGTGCCTTTTTACAATGAAAAAAAAAGAAGAGTTACAGTCTCAGAAACCCACAGGGCCAGTTCTACTCTGTCCTATGGGATCACTAAGAGTCTTACTGGCTCAGTGGCAATACATTTTGTTGTTGTTTTGTTTTAGTATCTTTGTTGAGAAGCCCAATGGCATAAATGGGTTACATTTGGGGCTGCTAACTGCAAGGTTGGCAGTTCAAACCCACTAGCCAATTCTGCAGGAGAAAAATGTGGCAGGCTGTTTCTGTGAAGACTTCCAGCCTTGGAAACCCTGTGCAGAATTTCTCCTCTGTCCTAATGGCTGACCGTGAATTACAATGAACTCGATGGCGTGGTGTCTTCCTGGAGCTTCCTTCTTGTGTTGCCTATCATCAGAAGTGAAGTGCTAAGGTCTCCTAATACGGTTGTAGAGCGATCTCTCTTTTCAGTGCTGTCAGCATTCGTTTCATGTGTTTCGGAGCTTTACCATTGGGTGTGTAAATATTAAGGCATGTCTTCTACGTGGATTGAACCTTTCAATCCATTTTGTAAAAGTCTGTTTTATCATTGATTATTATTGCCGTTCCTGCTCCTTTTTGTTACTATTTATTTGATTTTTTTCCCAGTGTATAATTTTAACTTTTTTACATCTTGTGTTTAAAGTGTTTCTCTTGTAGGCAGCATATCGATGGGTCATTTAAAAAATACTTTCTCCCACTCTGTCTTTTCACTGATGCACATAAACCATTTACATTCAGTGTAATTATCAATATGTATGAATTTGCTGCTGTCATTTTGTTATGCTTTTATGTGTGCGGTGTTGACAGTTTCTTTGTTCTGTGCTGACTTATTTTTGTTTATGGCTTTTCTCCTCATTTCCTTTATTGTTGGTTTTGTGTTTACTGATTTATTTTCCTTCTTGATTTTGGGAGATTTGTGGCTCAACTGGATGGGATATACCTACAGCGTGCGGAAGACTTGACAACTCAGTAGTTGATGGGGTATCAAGTGGTTTCGATGGAAGTGCAGATAGCCTGCAGGAACTGTTTGAGTTTGGAATGTGCTCTGTTGCCACCAGGTATGGATGTTAGATGTGGGCACTAGGATCTCCTGCTTGCCATTTGGTATAGATATTTGAGTCCATGGTAACTGGGTTGGCGGTGCTGGAACTAGTCCCACTGCTCCCAGTAGAGTGGAGAGGTATGCGGGTGGTTAGAGCCTGCATGAGTCTCTGGTTTCAGTCTAACCAGCACAGGAGACTGTGCACTGGGAGGTGCAGGCAGTCTGTGAGTACTTGAACGATGCAACCCAAGTCCATAAGAGGAAAGGTGTGCCACTGGTCAATGAGTCCCCAGTATGGTGTGGGTGGTCGGGTAGAAGAAAGGGCACCATCTGTGGGTTCCCAGGGTGGGTGGCTAGACAGAGAAAGGGTGCCCCTCCTCATGCATTGCTGGTGCAGACTAGTGGACACCAATAGTCCAAAGGCCCCTGCAGGGAGGCTGTGTGGAGGATCATGTACCAACTGTCTGTAGAACCCTAACACAGGCAATCGGGTGGATCAGCAGCACAACCAATTTGTAGATCTCTGGAGTGGGTGACTGGTAGAGGAAGTGGGGACATTACTTGTGCGTGAGTTGCTGGCAGGGTAACTGAGCAGGGGAGCAATTACATGCCTCTAGGCCATGGTTCCTCAGTGCAGGGGGTGAGGCAGTAATGGAGCCCACCAGTTTGTGGGCACATGCAGACAAAAGATGTGGGGTCATCCCGATGCTTTGAGCCTCTAGCTTATGGGACTGAAGAGGTGCTGTACGTACAGTAAGTGCACGTAGCTGTTGCTGAGTTGGGGGTGCTCCCAAATGGCAGCATAAAATGACGGGTACGTTAGCTGGGAGCACTGTTTGCCTTGTCTTCATCTGGCTCCCTGGGCAGATCCATAATTCCTTTGTCGTCTGTTAAACGCAATCTCCCTTTCCACTGGACACTCGGTTGGTTCCTTGGGCTTCTATTTGATGCTGAGTGTTCTGTAGTTGTTGCCTGTACACCACTCCCTTGTTTTTCCAGTCTTTGTGTGAGGGGCACACAATCAGACTACACACTTCAGCGTGAGGCAGACAGCTATGCCGCCATCTTGGGCCCCATCGGATAGTCATTTTCTTTTGAAAATCTATTATGTGCACATTTTACTTCCCCTTATTTTAATTTTCCCACATTGTCTTTCATTATCAAGCTTTATTTTTGTAATCAGAAAAACAAATTTCATTTTACTTTAAAATGGGTAAATTAAGAACATCAGACAAATAAGATATGATAGAAATTTTTCTTAGAAAATTTCTCTGGGAGAAAATGTTTCCTACCTCATTTCCTTTGCTTCCAGCACTGGACTTCATTTCCTTCGGTTGCTTTGTAAAAGAAGAGAGGAGTGTTACAATGGAGAAGCATTATCAGCTAAATATCAAGCAGTTGTACCTATTGTGATTTTTTTGGCCACGATTCAGACTTCTAGAACAGTGACCCAGAGATATCTAACTCATCGAGATTTGAAATAGTTGCCCAGGTTTAACAGAAAGGAGCTTTCTGTCTTAACTCATGGGATGTCACTTTAGAAACTTTCATTGAGATAAGGGAGCAAGCTAGCATCCATTAAGGCTATATTTTCCAGCCAATAGTTTGAAAGAGGAAGCCATCTGGGATCTTTTAAAATCTGTTCTATTCTCCACCATGCTTGAAAAGCACCGTCTGAGCTAAGCTGTGGATTATGGTGTGCAATCCCTGTGAAACCAAGGCTAGCACAGATGATGAGCAAAACTAACTGTGGGGTAGCCTATCATGTGCCTCATTAAGCTACGTCTTATAGTCGAATACAACTTATTGACCACACACACATCACAATATAGATTACAGAGTGTGTGTGGGGGGAGCAGAAAACAAATTATAACATGTATACAATCTGATTCTACTTCTAAAAACAGTATATATCTGTGCATATGTATGCGATACATACCCAAAGCAAACCTACTAGCCTCTAATCCAGGAGTTGGCAAACGTTCGATACAGGGGAGTCAATCCTGTCCCTCACAACAATTTAAAATTATTTGAGAGCCATAAATATGCTTTTAAAAACAAATGAGATCATTATTATCTGAATAATATCCTTTAATTTTTTCCCATTTTACTTCGGAGTCACATGTATGGACTGAAAGAGCCCCCTATGACTCTCAAGCCACAGTGATCTAGTCCATTGCAACTCCTTGCAGCCCTATATAGAGTTTCCCACGCTGTACAGCTTTAAGGGAGCACACAAGACCATCTTTCTCCTATAGAGCAGCTTGTGAGTTTGAACTGCTGACTTGCAGTTAGCAGTCCAGTGTTTATCCAGTAGTACCACCAGGGCTCCTTATGTACACACACACAGACACACATACACACGCATGCGCACACACGGTACTTCAAAAAGCTCATAGAAAAATGAAAATAATAATGGAACTTTTCTGTGAGCTTGAAAAAAATTGCTTCTCTGATTGTCTGATAAAGTTAATCTTTAAAAGATAATATATCTTCGAATAGTTTTGTAACTAGAAGAACAATGAACACGAAGGCTCTGTTTTATCCATTACACCTGCTGGATTAAGAACTCAGCATTTTAGGGTGTGCTCCTTATCCTCTGTGTTCCGCGTGACTGTTTGGTGAGGCAGTTTTCTTTAAGTGAAGAGCCTCTTGCTACTTGACTTGTTGCCCGTTATTGGAGGTTCTATGGGGTTAGGATCCAGCCTCCTGGGAAGTCCCGATCGCGAGCATGTGGAATGCAGGACTCCTCAATACCGCTTACTTACTTAGGAGCCTCACAGAGGAGAGAGATTATTACGCAGAAATGTACTCCTCAAAACTGAAGACCAAGCAAAACCCAAACCCCAAACGAAAAGCAGCATTTGGCTTTAAATCAATGTATATTTGCAGGTAGCTGTCTGCTAACCTAGATTTTCTCTTTTGAAGATAGGTTGACCGAACTCAGGTAACATTTCTGATGTTAATAAACCAGAGGACGTTGTTTCTGGCAAGAAAAGCAGTTGGGTCTTAGAGAATCTAAGAATGAAAGCATTAAAAAGCAGCAGGGAGGGGACTGTAGGTTAAGAGGAAGTGGTAAGAACAAGAAGCAACAGGACGGGGCTGGGTCAGAAGCCTTGGGGACATGCTAAGGCAAACGTGACTGTGGCAGCCACACCGGGGACAGCATGTTTTCCCAGTGACCCTCTTCAAGTGGAAGTGCTTTGAGCAGGATACATTTTTATGAGATGTTACTTCTTGGGGAGATTTAAAACTGAGACCAGGAATGCCTATCCGTTATAAAATGAGAATCTCTGTCATCGGTATAAAGACATTGATGTAACTGAGGTACTTCTTCATTCTAGAGTTCCTCGGTGGTACACTGGTTAATGTGCATGGCTGGTAACCAAGAGGTGGCAGAGGTTTTGTGTCCACCCGGAGGCATTTGAGAAGAGAGGTCTGACACTCCGAAAACAGGACTCATTGAAAACACTCTTGATGCTCATTTCTTCTCTGACACACATGGGGGGAGGGGGGGCGCCATGAGTTGAACAGACTCCACAGTAATTGGTGTATAACTGACCTCACCACTGTTAGGAACTCAGACTTTCTGATATCAAGTTCAGTGCTCTTTGTATTATTTTAATTATTCCTTGATGTCATGCTTTGTCTATCAGTATGGACTTTAATCTCACATAAGAGTCTATAAAGAAGAAAAGGATAAGGAAAATATAAAGAAGGAAATTATAAGGGCTATTAAGGTGGTGTAGTGGTTCTGCATTGGGCTGTGATCTGCATGGTCAGGAGTTCTAAACTAGAGCACCTCTTTGGAGAAAGACTGGGCTTTGTACTTGCACAAACAGTTACCGTTTCAGAAACCCACAGGATAATCACCATGAGGTAGCATTGACTCAATGACAGCAAGTTTTTATTAATAAAGATGCATCTGATTTAGAAAAAAAATTAAAGTGTGTGTCTAAACTCACCAGATGTCGGAATTCCACTGACAGACTCCCATTAGAAGATTCTTCAATGGACATAGCTTTGACATGAGTTCCACAAAGAACAAATCTTCGGTTACTAGAGAGGAAATCGTAGCTATTTACATGGCTCTAGATAAAATATATTTTTGAGAACAGCAAATAAATGTCCACAAAGTCTTACCTTAGAGTTGAAACATTCCTGTAAAACCAAGAAGATTCTTGAAATGAGCTATTTAATAGATCCAGCAAAAACATTCTATCGCACTTTACAAGATGCTCCATAAAATTTCACTTGAGATCTTTATAGTAAAATTTTTTAGTAAGTCCTCATTGGAGTTCTGGTAAATACTTACATTTTAGAGTCAAATATTTGTGATATATTGATATGCAATATTAAAAATAAACTATATAGTTAAAGTATTTCTATAAATTAGAGCAATTCATCAAAAACATTTAAAACTTTCACATTTAAAAATTAAATTAGAAACTTACTTGTCGATTGATGCTTTAACTTTTACCTGATAGTTTAGCTCTGTCAACTTTATTAGTAGTCTGGAAGGAAACATTAATAAAGAATCAAAGGTCAAATTTAAAGTGTTAATAGGTACTTTTTGTACTTAAGTATTTTATTATATTTATGTCATATGGCAACAAGTCCAATTTACAGGATCCACATTTTATTGTTAAAACCCACCACACCTCCATCTAGTTGACTCTGACTCACAGCAGCCCTTTGGGACAGATAGAATCGCCTCGCTGGGTTTCTAAGAATGGATGTTTTTATAGGAGCAGACAGCCTCGTTTTTCTTCAGTGGAGCAGCTGGTGGAGTTGGATTGCTGACTTTGCAGTTAGCAGCCCAAAGCAGAACCCACTCCACTACCTGGGCTCTTGCATTTGTTTACTAGTGTGTTTTAAAACTGGACAATTCCTGTTTAGTTTGTCATGTTATGAATGCATCGACACCGCTTAGTATGAGTCTTTACAAACACTTGAAAAGTGTTTCCAAATGTGGGAAATTTGATGTATGCCAGATAATACACTATTCAACCCACTACCATTAACTCGATTCGGAGTCAATATGCACTACGTTGTTTCTCAAGCTGTAAATCTTCACACTGGCAAGATAGCCTCATCTTTCCCCCTCAAAGGAGCTGGTAGGTTTGAACCTCCAAAATTCACTGTGCATTTTGGCTAAAATCCAAATCTTGGCTAAATGTAGTGGAAAAATAATATGGAAGCTTAGTAAAATGAACTATTTTAATGTTAAGTGTTCTATGAAGAAAATTCTGAGAAAGATTATACCTCTGCTAGAACATGTAAAATCCCAGTTCAAATGCACTTGTAATCTTCTTTAAACATGCTATATTTAAGCCACAGAAAAAGTGGTCATAATTTAAAACATCCTAATGTTAAACAAAAAGTGAATGAAGTTCATAAAAGCAATTCTTTTCATTCCTTCTGGTGTCAGTCTCTCCTTTAGTCTTTGGCTTTCCCCATTCCTCAGAGACGCGTCCTCTGATGTGCTCTCTGGATGTTGTCCAGTTTCAGAGATGCTCCCTAACTCCCTCCTCCCTCACTAACTTCCTCTCACATTCATCTCAGATCTCACTCATTCACAGCACTGAGCTCCTGGTAAGTACCCCTAGGTACTGGGGATTACAGAGAAGTGAAGATGGAGGAGGGACAAGGGTGGATATAGCTAAATAAATGGAACACAGAGAATGTGGTGGGAAGCAAATGTCCAGAATTAGAGAAAGCTAATAATAGACCATCTATATAACTAACAAGAGTGAGTAGAATACAGTGGAGGCTCCTCAAACGTTCCGGACGTGGCACTGGTTTTGGCTTTGGAACAGGATAAGCGTGCCATCATTGTTAGTAATGGGAGGTTAGAAAGAAGGACGGGCGTATGAAAAAAAGGCAAGCTGCTTTCTCCTTCTGCCTTACTTTCTGTCCGACTCTAGGGAGGGTCTGAAAGATGGAGACATGTGAATGAATAACAGTGGTGTCCTACATCACCCCTTCCCTTTAAGCTCGAGTACAAAGTACAGGACTGTATATCAAGACATTGGGTGGCAGGATAGAGAGAGATTGAGGTCCTACAGTCAGTGGAAGAGGAGGGTAGAGCCCCCAAACCAGGGACGAACCATTTATTCCTGTGACACCAGTTCAAACAAGCAAGTTGGTGCGGGTTCGGGGACTTCTTCCACTCTGCATAATTCCCACTCCCGTTCCTTTTTGACCCAGAGAGCGTCTCAGACTCCCCGGACCCGTCTCAAGGGAAAACCAGATGCCCTCGGCCTCTTCATCACATTTCCCTTTACTGTGATTGTCCTCTGGGTTACAGAGCACCAGAGGAATAAGAATAAACGCCTTTCGAAAAGAACACACTCTAAGTGGGAACCTACGTCTGCCTTTTGGTTTAGGTCCTTAAATCTCGGTTTAACATTGACACAAACGGAATTTTAGTTAAGGATTTTGAAATGCACCCTGAAGACACACGCCTTCCTTTTTAAAATGAAGTTCCAATAGTGCGACACGATCAGGGACCCCTAAGAAACTCTTTCCCTTGGGATCATCCCACATCTTTTGGTGGATGTGATCAGGTGACTAAGTGATTGGGAATTTAAAGGTTTAGGTGTTAGTACTTGCGGCATGATGGACATTTCTGAAATCTAGAACTCAAACTCTCTGAAGTGTCCGCAGGGCGCGCTCATAGACAGGAAAGTTCAAGTGACCTGGGGAAAGCTCATGCAAATACACAGATAAAGCACATGAACAGTGACACCAAAGTCTGTGTCTTTACATTAAGATACACTGGCAATTGTGGTGTTGAAAGTTTGGTTGGAAAACCCAGCAGCCAGCTCTGAGGTCGACACAGGGAAAGAATGTGGCACTGCATTTCCTGGATAGGATATTCAAGGCCTTCCATAATCTGTCCCCAATTTATTTTCTCAAGCCTATCATCCCGCTCAATTGCATCACAAAACAGATCCAGGAACCTTTACTTCTCTTGCCTTACTGCCTTACAATCCTCCTCCCTGCCCCTCTCTGTGCTGCAAGCACGGCTCTTCTCACACATGAGCCATAAAGCCTTTTCCGCCTCTCTGTTTCCCCACAAGTCAGCTTTCCGGCCAGTAATCCCATCCTGCTCAATTTCATACTAATCTATATTGTCCTCCAGCTCTCTTGTCATGCTCTTGAGAAGAAGAGTCCTTAGTATACAGTTTCTGGAGGTAACTACCCTGCCTTGGAAACCAAGGTTGGCTCTGACAGGCATTCAGCTGTTAACACAAAGTCCACCCAGAAGTCCCTCAGAAGAAAGGCCTGGTGATCTGCTTACAAACACGGCCATTGGAAACCCAGTGGGACACGATTTGCTCCGACACACATAGGGCCCCTACAAGTTGGAATTGACTCTAATTGTTTGTTGTTTACTATATACACTTCAATGCTCAGTACAAGGAGGTATTCGACAGAGTGGGTAAATTGCAGGACACCGAGAGAAACCAGCCTGGACAAGGTGGCGGTTGTAGCTTCAACACATGGAGCCATAGGCTGCGTTTGGCCTACCTTAGCTTTACAGTGAATTGAATGAGGGTTTTGAGTACCATTGGCCTCTGTGGGTGGGTGGGCATGCACGGCTGTCGTTCAACCACAAAAGAGCTAGAGTAAAAGGAAATAAAGCACATCGTTCAAAAACGCTGAATATAACGACAGACTGAAACCACAGAGGAATAGGGTGCTGTCCTCTCATAAAATCTGCATTTTCTCCACATAGAACAGGTTTAAACCCCAGTATTAAGCTCTAGCCTTTAACATTGCCTCATAAGTAGTTACCATAACATGGGGAATTTTTAATATTTGTTCCTCAGTAATAGCAGTCAATAATTCTGTGGGTCAAGAATAAAAGCCCCCGTTCATTCTTATCACACCAAAGATAAAGTAGAAAGTTTAATTCATGCCATTCTTGAATTAAATACTAGGGTATCTGGTATAGACTTTTGGGGGCCTCTTTAGAGATGTTTTATTTCTTGTTTATTTTTTTTACGAAGCAACTCTTTCCTTCTAAAATGTGAAAACTGAAGTGGAGGGGGATAATGTGACTTAGCCCTTGGAAAATTAAGCCAGTTTTTGGGAGACTTGCTGATGAACACGTAAGCAAGAGTAGAAATGCAGTTTCTGGACTCTGGAACTCTCTTCATTTTACCTGAAGGCTCATTGTTAAACCCTTCTGCCCACGCCTGCCCCTCAACACAGCCCCAAGAAGGGTGTCCTGCTTCTGCAGGACAGAGGATCCCTAGAGGCATTTGAATTGATAAGATTTCACTTACTTCTTGAAAAGATTGTAGATCAAGAAGGTGACTCTCTCGAGCAGGTGTGCTCTTTGTATGGGGATGGGATCACCTTCGTAGGTCATTTTGGTGGATTGCTCCTCGAGTTTCTCCAGTTGCCTTCTGAGTTGGAAAAGGCTTTCCGCCAACAGTGTAAAGCTATTGAGCCACAAGTGAAGATGGGAGAGAGGTTTCCCACTAAGCCATCAACCCTTTTAACCGTTGACCATATTGAACAAGTGTTACATTATCAAGTAGTTACCAAGGACCACATTCCATTTAAGATTGGGGTGGCCCTTCATTTTTAGTTTCAGAACCTGCCTTTTTAAAAAATATTCATGCTATTTGAGGGGGCTTCAAAAAGTTCATGGGAAATGTCCATTAGTTTTTAATTTTGTTTTTCTACAAACTTTTTGAAGCCCCTCAAATATTAATGTTTTATTTGTAGCTTCAGTTTTAGACAAGAGATCATTTATGAAGTTTTGTCAACATTTGGAACCAAATTATTTTTGTTTAATTATTCTTTGTGTAAAATTCTGTTATATATGTGTGTTTATGTATATTTGTATATGTAGACACATATACATGAATGATATGGCACTCACTAAAGGACAAAGAAGGAACAAATTTAAAACTGTCAATTCATGATATGAAAAATGCTATGTGTAAGAACACTGAAAAAAAAACCAACACAATAGGAAACAGTCCCTGCCCCAAATCCATATATTTTTATGTCTGATGTATCAGTACAACATTTTTTCTTAATGACTTGCTCTGGCGAGGGTATGTTTAGAAATGCTCTTTTTTTTAATGACTTGCTCTGGCGAGGGTATGTTTAGAAATGCTCTTTTTTTTAATGACTTACTCTGGCGAGGGTATGTTTAGAAATGCTCAGCCCTGGTTGCTACTTATCTACTTTATTCTCTGCGTGGTAGTCTTAGTTAAGAATCCAAGGAAAAGGGAAATGGAAATGGACAACGGGAGCCTCCACCTGCTGAAGAGACATAAAGTCTCATCAGGATGCAAAGTCCATCTGGCCTTGACAGCATCTCTGCATCTGACATTGTGGACAGGGGTCCAAGGTCAACTGGATGCTAAGTGTTAGCATGGACACCATTACTCACTAAGTGCTTTATTACCACCTTTGCAGCTTGTCTTGTTTTTATAATAACACCGTACAGAGAGGTCAGAGAATCAAAATCTCTCACCAAGGAAAACCCCTAGGCGTTCAGATGAACTCAATCCCTTGGTTCTTTTGAGAAGTAGGTCTGGCAAGGTAGAGCTCTTGGTGAAACTGCCCAAATGCTACGTCTTTCCACTGTACTGACTTCTACTCTTGGAAAACAACTTTGGACTTCAACTGAACATTTCTGTTTTCATTCTATTTTCTTTTTTTGTTTTTCCTTTCATGATTTTATTTTATACTTACCAGGAAAACCCCTATCAATATTTTTAGCTCCTAATGCCAAGAATAGTCCTATGTGTCTACCTCAAATGCACGTATTGTACATATACAGAGGATGTTGCATTGTTAACATCTTTTTTTTTGAGAGTGTTCATTAGTTTTAAATGTAAATCACTGACTATATTGAGCGCATAAAACCAGTGCTTAACAAATTCACAGCTAAACATTGCAATGTCATTCTTCAGGCTTTTGAAGCCACTGCTCCTTCATGTCCTTAAAGAAAATGTACTGCTGGCTTAAAATTCAGTTTGAGTCTTTTCAGGTTGATCCCTGATATGTGAAAATGAAGCTATTCTTATGCACGCTCTATATGCTTCTTTTTCCTGAAAGGAATAAAAATTAAGAGCACTTGCACAATATCATCTACTCATTTTCAACGATCGAGATCCCAGCTGCTAGTAAACATCAGTCAGCTAAATAGCTGAGCGTCCAGGCTGAGCCGGCACTTCCCTGCCTGCCACTGAAGTTGTGTACTTCCTGTGGTTTTCACCAGAATCTCACGCCGATCTGTTTACCAGTTTTGCAGCTGGTCGAGCCCGTTGTGGAGTGGACCGCCAATGCAGGCGATTTGCTGCCGCCTCTTCCAGTCTTGTAGTTCTTCTGTTAGCATGCTGCTCATTAACAAGTCCGTTTCGTTCACTATCTGCGTCATCTTTCTGAGGGTTTCCTGGAAGAAATGGTGATTGTTGAAAAGACTTTCATGAACAATGGTCACCAACTCATAATTCAACCTGTAACATGATCTGAGTTGGGGAATAAGGGCTTGGCCAAATTGCCATTGCATTATGTTTTCAATGAATTATTTACATAGAGAAGTCCCAAGGAAAAAAAAAATAACACATGTTGACATGTTTGGAATAGCTTTCGGTATAAATATGTTAAATTTGTAACTCCTGTGACAATAATGCTGAATGTTGTAATTCATGAAACCATAAGTTAAAAAATTATAATTTTAATATGCATTTCTATTAATATGTTTATACAGTTACTAATTTTGAACTCTGGTACATTACTTTTACAGGATTTATTTTGGGTTTTGGAGGCATGCAAAGCATAGCAGTCCTCTTTAAAAAACACTGTAGTATTTTATGTAGTCATTTAGAGTCAATGGAATTGACACAATCCACATGTGTGATTAATTTCTGGAGGAGTAGGGTTATGGAAAAAGTAAAATAATAGGCACAATGTCAATTAAAATTCTTCACTAAGGGAGGGGAGATGGGGGAGGGAGGGGGAAAATGAGCAGCCAATATTAAGGGCTCAAGTAGAAGGCAGATGTTTTGAGAATGATGATGGCAACAAATGTACTATGTGCTTGACACAATGGATGTATGTATGGATTGTGATAAGAATTGTACAAGCCCCCAATAAAATGATTTAAAAAAATTCTTCACTAACCTTTCTCTTAAAGTCAAGGCTGTTAAGCATTTCTTGCAAAGTCAAAACTTCCTGATTCAGCAGGACACTGTTCTTGTCGCCCTGATCTGCAATGGAAAAGACATCAAGCTTGCGCTCATGAAGAGACCCACTGAAGACATGGGGTTTATATAGCAAAGTGTGATGAAGAAACCAGATGATGCCTGGCTATGAGAAAGAATCGTGTCTGGTATCTTAAAGGCCTGTCTTACAACCAGTGAGGTGTCACCTAAATCCACATGGAAGAACCACGTCAGCCTGTGTGATCCGAGGATCATAAACAATAAAATACGAATGCATAGGAGGGAATGGTATCAAACCTTAATTTATGAATGCCTGGTTTGCAGAAGATTATGGATGACAGTGTCCAGATACCACCACCAACTGCTCTAAAAGGGATCATATTAGACGGTCTTGGAAATAGTGGGAGAAAATGTGGAACAAAACTCAAATCATCAAACAATACAGACCAGGCTCCTTGGTCTGACAGGGACTGGTAGCATCCCCAGGACAAGGACCCTTAGTCATCTCTCAGGCTTTCAACTGATCTCATGTACACGGCTCAATGTTCAGCCAAACAACAGACAAGCCTAGAAAGGGCACAAGGACACTAAGGATGCGTGCACTCCTTAGAATAATCAACTATTTGAGACCAAAAGGGCAACTTTCACCCAAGAACAAAGTTCAGAAGGGTGAGGAAAGGAACGGAAACAGAGATAGTGCATTGAGGAGGGTGCCATGAATGACATGATATATGAAAAATGTATATGAATTGCTCAATGTAAACTGATGATCGGCTCTGTAGCCCTTCGTCCACTTTACAATAAAAAAATGAAAAGTAAATCTTGAGGGGAAAAAACCCACTGAAACCACTTTTGCCATATGATCCAGGAAGTTTATTCTTCTACTTGAAACATACCCAACTCTCTGTCCTCCAGTCCCTTCTGCCTCATGGCCACACCATAGGGCTGGGCAGAACGGCCCCGGGGAGCTCCTGAGACGTTGTAACTGTAAGCTAAGTCTTTCTCGGGTAGAACAACATGGTGAGTTTGAATTGGTGACCTGTGGTTAGCAGCTCAGTGCTTTTCTACTACACCACCAGGCCTCCTATAAGCAAATATCCATCTCTCAGTGAATCCATCAATTAATAAATGGATAAGCAAAATGTGCTATATCCACGCAATAGCACACTGCTCAACAATGTTTTTTAAGAAGAAAACTGCTGGCTGAGAAAAAGAAATTTCATTAACTACGACTTTTCAGTCTTTATCAGTAAGACTTAATTTCTTTGTATCTCCTTCTGGTGGTGTCGCGGTTACATGCTGTAATTCGCATGGTCAGGAGTTCGAAACCACCAGCAGTTCTGTGGGAGAAAGACTGAGCTTTCTACTCCTGTAAATGGTTGCAGTCTTAGAAACCCACAGCAGGGTCCCTATGGGTCAGCATGAACTCCGTGGCAGTGTTTGGTTTCTGGTTCTCATTTCACTTATAACAGGATGGAACAAAGAAATGCACATTGACTGAGGTGATAGTGTGACCATTTATCTTTATAATGTACACAGATAACTGAAAATTATAACGTGACCCAAATCCTAATAATTTAAAAGTATTTTTTCTGGTTAGTGTATTTTGTTAAGCTGTAATCCTGAAAATTGGCAATTCATATATAAAACTTGGTATGAGATTGCCTTTAGTGAACTGTAATGTTTGATTAAACTGATCATTGTTTTACATCTTTAAAGGGACATACCCCTTTAGTGATCTGATCAAACCTCTTTTTGTGCTGTTTCTTCTGAAGACAAGTTATCTAGATAATCATGAACATTTCCGAATGACACTTACGGAGATAAAGACAGCATGGCACTTCCAGAAGAATACAAATAGAACACCGCACTCTCCACCTATGCCAGGTGAACACATTTCCTCACATTCCTTTAATACTCCATGCCCCTCCAGGTTATATTTTAAGCTAATACTTCAATAGTTAAAGATAATTCTGTAAATGAATGGTTTATAACTGATCTATTTTAAGTTATTTTGAAATGATTTTAGAATTAAAAAAACTTTAAGTACATTATCCTATGCACACTTGATCAAGTTTCCCCTAATGTTACTTTATATAAACACAGTATAATGATCAAAAACAGTGAATTAATATTGATACAATCCTATTTACTAATTTAGATCTAATTTAAAATTTGCCGATTGCCCTCTTATCGTAATTCGCTTTAAGCTATCAATCCATTATTATTTGTAAATCTTAGATCTTGTATTTCTTTTCATGTTTTTAGCTATATATATCTGTGTATGTCTACCTCTACACCTATACCTACATCTATGTGTATGAATATATATTATATATGTCCCCACAGAGGAAAAACTAGAAACAAAATAAATACACTAACATTTTGATAGTACTTATCTATGGATAGTGTCTTTTGTAATCTTTATTTTTAATGCATCTTTTTCTCTCTTCTAAATTTTTTAAATGAAGCACATTTTGACTTTATCATCTGAACAAATATATTATGGAAACACACATAGGGAAGATATTAGTAGTGATTTCCTGATGGCCTTAAACAAACAAAAAATCCATCTCATCTATTGGATTCTGAATTATAGGGACTTTACAGGACAGAGTGGAACCGCTCTACCGAGCTTCTGAGGCTGTAACTCTTTATAGGAGCAGACAGTCCCATGTTGGTATTATAAACAAACAAGCAACAGCAACAACAAAACTCTAAAAAACAAAATATTTAAAATGTTATTACTTTTGTTACTTGTGATAATGCTATTTTGATTGTATAGGAAGATATTCTGATTTTTTTTTTTTGGAAATGCATGCTGATGGATTTAGGGATGATATTTCCTGAGGTCTACAATTTACCTTTGTATCAATGGAGAAAATATATTTTTGTGGAAAGAGACAAGCACACAGTGAAAAAGATTACAGACTAAGTGCAAGTGGGAGGTGCAAAACAAAGACTCCTCTTCTTTAATTAAAAAGACCCACCTACCAAAATTATTCTGTCAGTAAAGAAGAAACCACAGACACATCATAGTTTTCACTGTGTAGAATTAAGGGCAAAAGAAAAACTTACCCATTGTCTGAATTGTTTTATACCTGTAGTCAAATTCATCTTGCAGGTCGTCTAAGTATTTGGTGTCTTGTTCTGTCATCTTTTTATAAAAGAAAACATACTCTGAGTTACAGTGGGCAGGCCAATGAAACAACCTTATAAGTATTTCAAAGCACACTGTCTGATACATCAGGATCACTAGCAGCCAAAGGTTGCTGACTCCCCGTCTCTGAAGAGCGAATTCCAAGGAAAGTTAAATAGATAATGCTGGAAGAACTAGATTGAGTTTACTCTTCCAAGTGTATTCTTCTCCTGTCTGTTTGGAAGTATTTTGTCGTAGCGCTCATTTCCCAATAGTTCCAAATGATTCTACTAATATGATCTTGTTTTATCTGAGGATAAATATCTATAGTTCCCATCTTAGAACTCTTCAGTAGTCCCATCATATGTATTAATGCACTATCTATCACTTTTAGCCCAATGCCACCATTCTGATCTGCACTTTATGAAAATGCCAATCAAATATTGATCCTCTTTATTTCTTAGAAGAAGAAAAATATCTATGTTTCCTCCGTGTGCTCTGCTTCTTTGAGACTTTACCAGACTATTTCAAGAGTGCTGGTAGCGCAGGTTGACGAAAGGTTAGTACTTCAAACCCACCAACTGCTCAATACGAGAAGATCTGATTGTTTCTGTGAAGGTTACAGGCTTAGACACACTCCGGGGGCAGTTCTACGCGATCCTATAAAGTCACTGTGAGTTGGAATCAAGAATTTAGTCTCTCTAAATTTAGTAATTTTTTCCCCGCTTAGACACAACAGCACTCTTGAGAGCCAGAACCTACGTGAGAAGGAGACCCTGTCAGCGAAGGAAAACGAGAATATTTTCCACTAAAAGGAATGACAGAAAAGTGATCGACTGAACCTTAACAGAAGCAGAAAACTTGCCAGACCTAGAAAAACAAGGAAGTCCCGTGAAGTTATGGATTCTACTGCTCTCACCGGTTTAAGGGGCACATTTTTAGCAAAAGCCTTTTTATCTATGATCTTGTTTAATCCTCGTGGCAATCTTGTGATGGAGGTCCTCTCTTTCACATATGAGGAAAGGCAAACAAAGATGTGAAGTACATGCATGTAATGATTAGTTTCTTCCTCGCCCACCATCACATAGCTTCTCAGTAATGGAGTTTGGTGTGGACTTCCGGCCTACGGGCAGTGACCCCCACGTGTCCATAACCAAAGTTGGACCATGAATTCCTAGACTTCAGCCTGCTTCCCTTTCTTTTTAGAAAATCATACTTTCTACTACCTGCTTAGTACAGGAAATCTCCCCAAAGGAAACATATACTTTCTCCTAGCATTTCCACCACAGATTCCAAATTAGGAAATCCTTGAGCTAAATTTCAAACACGTCTCGATTTCTTTTCACCACACCACAATCCCACTTGAAGCATTTCCTTTCAATGAGAAGTTGCACAAGAGCAGACACCTTCGGAGGCTGTGCAATCCTAAAAGGCAGACAGCATCTGCATGTGTAATGAAAACTATTTTTAAAGCAGAAGGAGAAAGGGATTTCATTTCTTTATCTCAAAATTAATTAAAAGCTAAAAGATGACATCTTGCAGAATCTTCTAATGAAAAGCATAATATTAAAACTGCCATACCCTGAAAAACCAGTAGCAGTCAGTAATTAAAAGGCTTTCAGATTGTATCAGCAATTTCACAGTGCAAAAGCAGCCGCAGTAAACCGTCACAAGCTCTCAAGACGTTCTGAAAATGTGTACGGAAGTGCCACATGTCACAGAACAACTGAGGCTACGGTGTAAGCAGCGAAGTTCATTGATCATTAAGCTCTGTTTTTGCAATGTATATATGGTTCGGAATCAAAGCTCAGGTCAGGGGTCACATATACATGATTTATTGGCTTTTAGGAGAAAAGACGTGAGCAGAGGAAGTGGGAAAGGAAAGTGGGTGTCTAGCTTCAGTTTCAGCTCAGGGAGGTCTGGGGTATGACCTGTGTCACAATCAAGGCTCTTTGAGGCAAGGGGGTCTGGCTTTTTGCAACACCATGTAACCCGCAGAGGCCATTCTCTGGAGAACTATTGGATAGCAGCTGTGGGGCAGGTGCACACACCTGACAAGGATCTGGTTGGACTCCTAAAGGTGGGTTTCTGCTACACCAGACTCCACAAGATTGACAAACGATGCTGTGCTGGATGCGAAACCCATCTGCGTCCTTGACTAATGTGCCGTCTCACTAGGATCAAGGAGTCATTTCCTGACTTGAACACAGCAGAGCCCATAATGTGCTTGGCTTTAATCTTATTTGCACAGACAGTTCACCTTCTGAGAGCCCAATTCTTTCTAGCTACAGCATAAACAGAGACTTTACCATGCCTGCCTTGCTTGTGTTGGAGAGTCACTAATCAGAGGTCTGAAGTAAATGCACAAATACCATTATTTAAAACCTCTATCCGATCAGACAGGGTCAGGGGCAGTTTATCTTTAAACACCTTGTCTATTTATTTTAAGTAATTTATGACTTTTACAAGGGATTTGAATGTTACGTAAATTTTAGAAAGTAAATTAAGCATTTGATTTTAGATTCAAAATGGAGAAAATGCAGCTTCATTTAAGAGATTCTCTGTAAGCTAATGAAACGCATAGACACCTAGCCAGACTGACCAAGAAAAGGTGAGCAAATACAGATGATCCATAATGAATGTGAAGGGCGGGATCCCTACAGATTCTATGGAAATTAAAATAGCAATGAAGGGATAGATAAATAATTTTATACTAGTAAAATATGAATTAGATGAAATGGATGGATTCCTTGAAAAATCAAAAGTAACCAAAAATTTGTTGAAGAAGAAATAAATAACTGAATAGTCTTATATCAAAGAAATGGAAATCATCGTTACAAACCAAGCCTTCCCACAAAGCTTCTTCTCTAATGTACTGTCTGAGGGCCAGTTCTCCTACCAACAAAGTGCCCTCGGGTTTCAGCACACACGAATTTGGCAGCACTGGAGGAAGCTGCACAGGTCGCTGTCTGAGCACACTAGCAAGCTGTCCCAGGTTGTCTCTGAGCTCACTCACCTGAACACTGTTTTTAATGGCAGCCACTTTGTGCTCCACATTCCTCTGTCTTTCAGAAACCGAAGAACTTTGTAAGGATTTCTCCAGGGGTCCCTGGAAAAAAGAATGCTTTGAAAATTCATTGATGTTGATGAAACTGGCTTATAATGAACATAAGAATTACATTCAACGGACACTGGGATCAATATGATAGGAAAACGCTACAGCCATTACAAATCATGGAGCAGAAGGATATTGAAAGACATATGCACAAACCACACCTTCTGTCAGCAAGTCAATTCAGACTAATTTCGCCCCATGGGACTTCTCTGAGACTGCAAATCTTTATGGGAGCAGACAGCCTCATCTTTCTCTATGGAGTGGTTAGTGGGTTTGAATCATAGACCTTGTGGTTATAAGGTCACAAGTTAAATTGTTCAAGGATAGAGTGGATTACAGAAACGATATTGCATTATCTCAATAGCCTGTGTTCATGTGCGTGTATGTGTGCTCAAGTGTGCATGCACGCAAGTAAGTAAAATTACTGGCACTAAATTATGGAAATCTTTATTAAACAAAAAAATCAAACTCCAACCCTTGGCATATCCTCCAGCTAGGATAATATACTTCTGAGAGCAGTGATTCCATCTAATTCTTCCCCCAAAGGATTTTGTACTCTTTGATCTGCAGCACAGCAAATCAGCAGTTTCGGTATTCCCAAGGGATTCGAATTGTATTTATTTTAAATAGCCTTTGAGTTTACTTAACAATAAGCAGACTAAAGGGGCATGATCAGGCTGGATGGATAAGGTTTCCCAAAGGAGTGTTGATAGTTCAGTCTTTAGCACCCTTGAGAGTGAGCAAGTGCTTTTTGCCATGATGGGGAAATTTCTTGGTGAAATTTTCCTGGCCTTTTTCTCACCAATGCAGTTTTTGATTTTCTTAACACTGCTTCATAATAAAACTAAACAAGACTCACTGCCATCAAGTTGATTACAACTCACATCAACTCTATAGGACAGAGCATAACTGGCCCTGTGGGTTTCTGAGGCTATAAATCTTTATGGGAGTGAAAGGACTCATCTTTCTCCCACCAAGTGGTTAATGGTTTTGAACTGGTGATCTTATAGTTAGCATCCTAACATGTAAGCCACTACACTACCAGGACTCCAGAACTTTATAAGAAGTCTCCATACTCATCTTGTGTCCTTAAGAAAATTTACTAAGATATATGTATATACAAGGGTAAGACTAAAAGTATTACAACTAAGTTCCAGTTCATACAAGACATTTTTAAAAAGTCTTTGTGCTCAGTGGACAGTTGTAGGTAAGTTCTCTCAGTAATACACTTGTCTTGGTCTTGTTGCAGTGCCTTTAAAAAAATTTTTTTAAAAAGGCCCAAACAAAACAATGGCATTAGATAGACGGGATAATAATAGAGGCTTCTTGTATAGTATTGGAGTCGGAATTGACTCAATGGCTGTGGATTTACACAGAAAGGCTAACCAGATTTCCCAGGCCACATTTCTTCTTTTTGACTGTTGTGAAAATATGGGTAACTTCGGTGCTCCAAGATGCGAATGCAACACACCGGCAGGAAGCAGGGAACCAATGAGAGGTCTGAGGGGCGGGCCCCCATCCCAACTATGTGGACAGCTGCCCCTCCCCGCAGAAGAATTTACTTCAGAGGACAGCACTGAAGCTCCGGGAGAGGGACATGTCTGATCAGAACACACGGGAGCAAATATAGGGGGAGGAAGAGAGAGTAGAGCACATCTTGGCCCACCAGGCCTGGAGGACGATATACCTGCTCAGAGCAGCCAATCCACAGAGAAGACCACATAGCCGGCCCCACTATGAGACACGACATCCCTCACTGACCCATAGCCCTACAGGGGACAATACTGGAGACACAGTGTTGGAATTCCACCCGATCTGATCCCACCACACCGAGACAAAACACTAAGGGTGTGGAACAGAACAGCAAGGGGAACAGAGCAATGAGGACCCCAGGGAATATCAAAAATAGACTTTGGGGTCAGGACATGGCACCCCAGCAGACTTGACCGGAAATCACTCTTAAAGGCCAACAAACAGTCCTTGAACTA